GGCTTGACGCAGGCGCGGATGCTATTATTAATACTACTGCTCTGGTCGACAGATCGGAACACCGACTGACCAAAAGATGTGCGGGTTACTACGGCGCATACCTCGATATTTACACAGGATGCAGCAACGCTGATTACGTTACCCAATACTTCGGAGGATGTATCAACTACATGAGCTCTTACGCAAGCGTCTTTTTCTGGAATCCTGACACGTGCAACGATATGCTCACGACGATCTGGCCACATCATGATTGCGGGCAAGGCAACCAGGTGTCATTTTTGGTCGGCGTCAGTTCCAACTCAATATGCTACACGAGAACCACCTACTCGTACACTGCTAGTCCAGTGTCGAGGTGACTAACGGCAAGTAGAAACGGAGTTAGCTAGGTCGGCGGTTGGTCATATCGCCAAGTTTCGGGCATCACGGAGGAAGGACTTAGGAGGTGTCTTCTATTCCACGGCTAGTGGCTGGGTGCAGATTACTTTGACTAGGTAGTTCTCCAATCATTTTGATGGGAATAGAGGTTTCAACAACCTTGGTTTGATATTTCATAACTCTGCACAGTTTTATTTGGCTGGTCTCAACACCTTTTACTTTGGATTTTATTACTCAATTGTTGATATTTACTATAAGGATGATCACGAAATACTATTCTATCTCGAGGCGATAAGTTTTAATATTACTATTAAAGATGACGATGAACTCGACAGTTAGGAAATTATAAGCAGAGAACGTTGCCAATCCTGTCTAAGAAGAGCCATTTTAAGTTATGACATTCTTATTTTGTAGCACTAATGCCATTGAGTTAGTCCCACGCGATTGTTCGGCTTGGAGAGATACCAACAACATCGATTCTGAAATCTGAGCGTTGGTTAAACCTACACTCGCTGAACTGAATTAATAATCCATTGGTGTTCCCCAATCACCTACTAGTCTCTAGGAATCTATTTTACCAGATCTGCTTCCAAGTTCAAACATCTCCTCGATCAATTGGCGGTGGACAATTGCATCGGCCAAAGAATCAAGATTGGCCCTTGTAGCGCCATTCGAAAGCAACTTAGTAACGGTGGCATCGTCATCTCTGAGCGCTGCTAGAAGAAGCGTTTTGTCATATTCTAATACCCAGATCCATGAGACTGACGTTTCCCGACCAGGAGTCAATAGATTACCGATTGACAGCCAACAGATATCGCAACATTTAAGAGCTTATATTTAGTACGGCTTTTTACCGGGACCGCCCACAAATATCACTTGTTTTTTGTGAGAAATTCTGGCCATTTGGGTCTTATACAGGCTAACACTAGTCCTAATGGTCGATGGTGAGCTCGACAAACGTACGTCAAGGCCATATGGCTGCTAAGATATAGCTACAGTTAATCTTGGGGTAAGTGGGTGTCTGTAAGATATAGTATTGTAAGCAGTTTCAAGAAGAAGCCATAGCACGTTATTCACTATAATCAAGAAGGGGCCTTCTGGATGAGGCGGAAAGTTGGCCTCGAAATTGTGCGAGTCTTTATTGAATTGAAGGGAACGTGAAGAGCAAAAGTAAACAACTGAACGGATCCTCAGTAGGGACTGGAAGACGTGGGGGTCGATTTGACCCTGAAAACTGGACAGCCTGCCCGAATTGGCTTCTAGGAAGTTCGGAAGAAACTTCCATTCAGCTCTTATGCATGTAATGTTAGTTATGCACTCGTGTTGGGTTATGTACGTGGTGTTGGGTTATGTACGTCGTGTTGGTTATACACGTTGTGTTCGTGTTAGTGTGTATACCATGTTAATTGTTACCTACAATCAGGGAAACATTCCAAATACGATAGATATCATGGATGGTTATTACCTACTGTGACTGGCTTCTCGTAAGTAGTTGCTACTACTAGGGCAACCGAAGAGGATTTGTAACTAAAGTTGATCTAAATGCGTAGATGTACGACTTCTCGGCATCCCCTTATACATGGATCGAGGACCATTCGATAAGCTATGTCAAAGTGGTACATTCAATATGTAGGACCATATATCTATAGAAAAGGCTATATGGAGCAGAGCAACGAACGTGCAGTAATATTGATTTCGGCAATTTATTATATTTTCGAAAATTACTAAAACCAGCCTCAATTTTTCATTAATTACTGGAACCAGCTTTTGACCTATTTAAGGCTAGGTTAAGTAGTAACCTAGAATGCTTTAGTACTTCTTAATACTATAAATTACTAATATAAACTTAAGTACCCTTCTATTATATATTATATTTATTTACTATATTATATTAACTTCTACATCCGCAAACCGGGAGAGCGCCAGTGATTTCATCGTTTGCCAACAGTCACCAACACCCACCAACGCTGCCAACACCGGCCAGCCGCACAGACCACCCGCCAGTAAGTAGCCAGCTAATAGCTATTGGAGCCATTGGCAACTCACTGGCGGGTGGTCTGTGCGGCTGGCGGGTGTTGGTGACTGGTTGGTAAACTATACACTCATAATTGAAGCCTTTAAGCTAGCTAGCCCTTTGAGCCAGCCCTCCAAACCTATGAAGCCTCTGAACCTACGAAGCCTCCGAACCCTCTGAACCATTTGAGCCAGCCCTTCGAGCCTACGAAGCCTCTGAACCTACAAAGCCTCTGAACCCTTCGAACCCTTTGAGCCAGCCCTTCAAGCCTATAAAGCCTCTAAACCTTTTAAACCCTTTAAGCTAGCTCTTTAATTATAGTAATAATAGTAGTAATATAATAATTATAATTAAGTTAATTAATAGTAATTAGAGTATATAAATATTAGACTAAGATAAGAGATATAGAGTTTACTCTCTAGAAAAGTAAGCTTATATACTTTATCTAGAAGTATACTAAGTTTATAAAAGGGGTTTATCTATAGAATATATAATTAATCTAGTAGAGTTAGTCTAGTTTCTAGATATATAGTTTAATAGAAAGCTTTAATAGAGTTATTATTTAAAGGAAGTTAAGAAGAAGCTAGTTATCTAAAAGCTTATACTTTTAAAGCTTATAGTATTAGTCTAAAAGTATAGTCTAGTCTATATAAAAGAAATCTATACTAAGATTATAAAGATAATTAAGCTATATAATAGATATCTATAGATAATCTATTAAGAATAACTACTTATTTACTAGATATCTAATCTAACTAAATAAATAGTATAAAATATAACTATCTATCTAGTAGATATCTATAGATATCTATTATTTTAGATATATAACTATATATAATTTAATATAGTAATCTTTATATTACTTTTATTTAAGCTCTTTAATTAAAGGCTATATATATAAATTAAGCCTTAATAATTAGTATTAAAATTATATAATTATTCTAGTCTATATAATATATATATTATTATTATTATTAATACTCTATTTAGCTATCTAGCTATAGAACCTCTATTAGAAATATTATAAGGTAAACTATACCCCTTAGAGCTAGATAAAACCCTTATATATTAGTCCTTATATATATAAAGTATCTTTGCCTAGTTCTTGCTGCTATTTAGCTAGTCTTACTACTAACTATATAATATTACCTGGAGCCTCTATAGCCCCCTTTCTTTCTCCTCCTCCTTCTAGTCCTAGATTACTATATACCTATAGGCTTACTAGAACTTAGGGAGGCAGCTAGTAGCTAGTAGCCACCTTACCACTATCCCTATATAGGCTAGGTCTACTGTTGCTACTATAAAGTTATAGGTAGTTCAAAGAGGGTATAGTAGGAGAGCCCTCTAGAGCTTCTCTCTTTCTTGTTATAGTTCTAGGTAATAGAGGATTATATAGGCTAGCGTTTCCCCTATAATACTATAGCGATAGAGCAGTATATTTACTTCTAGGACCCTTTACTAGAACAGGAATACTTAGAGCTCTATCTTGCCTATATAGATCTATATAAGAAGGGAGCTTTTATACTTCTTAAGGCTTTAGTATTTCTAGAGTACCTTCTTCCCTTTAAATTCAGGGTCTATATCCACTAGTTCTATACTAGATCCTCTCTAGAACCTTACTTATATCTTAACCTTATCTTTCTATTATAGTCTTTAGTCCCTCTTTACTACTTTATCTATTATTAGTTCCTTTTTAGTATACTACTTACTTACTTACTTTGTTTTCTATTCTCCTTCTTTAAATAGGAGTTATAGTCTTATTAGTCTAATTCTTGTCCTTTACTATTAGAGACAGGATACTACTATAGTATAGGTACTATATACCTTCTTGGCTATATTTATATATTTAAGCCTTGACTTAAATTCTATAACTCTTTTATTAAAGTATATATAGATTAATAGAGTAGCTGCTTTAACCTTAAGGTATTAAATCTAGATTATATAATATCTTCTAGTTACTATATAGAGGCAGTTAGACTATACTATACTAAGGTAGTTAATAATATCTCTAGAGTTTATTCCTGCTTTATTAGGTTTATACTATATAGATACTCTATATACTATTATTACTCTTATTACTTTAGTATAGATTTCTCTTATATAGGCTAGGCTATATCTCTAGACTAATATTTATTTATTGTTATTGTTTATACTCCGCTTGCCTAAGGGGCACGGTACTCCTATGATTTAATTCACATGGTAAACCTTGCTGGCACAGACGCTCCTGCCGCTGGACAAAACCCATATGCTGCTGTATTCGGCCAATGGCCCTGTGATATGACAACCCCTTTCCCTGTCTCTCACCCAGTTCTAGAGGCTATACTGGTCGCTTCGTTACTTGGACTGGTTGCGGCTGCTAATAGTTCTCGTTGGCTGCGCGTGTCTCGAAATTATCGGTTTCGATGTTTTTGCCATATAAGGTTATAGAGGGCAAAGTGGGGGTAGCTAGAAATAGTAAAGGCGTGCAGACCCTTCAAATTCTAGCTAACCGAGGGCAATAATAACGGTATTGTGACCGAGCACTCTTTCAATCCATGGCGAGTAGCTAAACCAGAATGAACTGGCTTATGAAAAGCCAGTAGTCGTCCCCTAGGGTGAAGCCTAAGAGAGGCAGCCAGAGCTGGGCTTGAACCAGCGACCCTCACATTCAATCAAGTTAAATGACTTTTGGGACTGCCGGGCGCACGACCACTGCGCCATCCGGCCTCTCTAGACTAATACTATAAGCTTTATAAATACAAGCTTCTAGATAGCTAGCTTTTTCTTAACTTCTTTTAGGTAATAACTCTACTAGAGCTTTCTATCTAGCTAGACTCTAAGGAATCAGACTAATTCTACTAGATTGATTATATATCCTACTAGATAAACTACCTTTAAGAACTTTATATACTTCTAGATAAAGTATATAAATTTACTCTTTTAAAGAGTAAACTCTATATCTCTTATTTTAGTCTAGTATTTATAGACCTTAAATATACCTTTAAGTTACTAATAGTTCTTCTAGATATTATAGCTAGCTACTAGAAGGTTTATATTATCTATAAATCCTATAATTATTAGGTTTCTATACTTCTCTAGAGCTTTATAGAGTAAGGCTATATAGAGTAGAAACAGGATTAGTAATAAGAAGGATCTCTATAAAACCCTTACTCTAATCTATATTAGTTCTAATACTTTACTATCAAATATAAGCCTTATAGAGTATACTTTAAAGTAGCTATTAGTCTACTTTATTATCTATATTAGAAAGCTCTATTTATATAGAGTATCTAGAAGTCTAGTATAGTTAACTATATTAAAGGCTCCTTTAATATTAAGCTAGAGTAGTAAGGCTATTGCTCTATAGTTCTAGACTATCTATACTGCTTTAATAACTAGATATATAGCAAGTTCTATAGACTACTTTTTTCTGTTTCCTGTTTGACTCTCTAGTAGTAGTTACTATAACTCTATTATATCTATAATTTAACTCTCTATTACCCCTTTAATAAGTTTTCTAACTATACTTAATAGAGAGATTAGTCTTTAGCCTCTAACTGTTTATTATTATATTAGTATCTTATCTAGTTTCTTAAGGACTACTACTCCTATATTATAGAACTGCTTTAGGAAGTATTTAAGGTTAAAGCTAGTTTAGATTATAGCTATAAGAATTATTAAAAGGGGTCTACTATATACCTTTAGGAACCCTACTAGAAGGTTATTACTTAGTTCTAGTGCTTTCTAGACTCTCTACTTAAGTCTTTTCTTGATTTCCTTTATAGTAACTACCTTTTTAATAGAGAATTACTACTAGATTAAAGCTTTCTTCTAGATAATATCCTTAATATCTTAGAGGTCTATTTTACTACTAGAGAAGAACCTCTCTACTAAGGGTTTACTCTTTTCTTTATAAGTAAATACTAACTAAAGGGTATTCTTACTTTAATATAGTAATAGTATTATTAGTAGCTCTTAAGAAGTATAACTTCTTAGTTATACTTATTATTAGAGTTTCTAAAGGGTCTTTAGCTGCTTTAAGGCTCTAGTAAAGGCTAGTCTCTAATACCTTATTTATACTTTTTAGATTACTTGCCTTTGTTTTTAGATAGTTTCTTAAAGCTTTATTTATATATATTATAATACTATAGTATAGTAGCTATATTATACTACTAATATCTCTACTACTACTTTATCTACTTCTTTATTCTACTATAGTTTATCTTAACTATAGCTAGTCTTATATTATAGGGTTAAAATATTAGTGATTCTCTAGAGCTACTATATAAACTAATTAGTTATATAATTAAGGACTTTTAGAGAGCTAATAAAAAGGGGTATTTTTAGAGTTTTTGCTTCTATAGCTATTAGGTCTTTGTTTATTTTAGTCTATAACTACTCTAGTAGTATACTAGAGAGTTATTAGTACTATATACTTTTGACTTATATAAGTTAGACTATATAGTCTAATCTAGTATAGTCTAGGCTCCCTTTATAATATACCTATAGTATCTCTATATATTATATAAGGTCTAATATTCTATCTCTATTCTCTCTATACTTTATATTTCTTTATCTAGTAGATTCTCTTTATAGTATAGCTAGTATAAGGTTCTAGTATTATATTAGTAAAAGAAGTACTTCTATATATTATAATATTCTCTTTTCTTTATTCTATTATAGGTAATAGAGGTTTATATTACCTATTACTAGATAGTAACCCTCTAATAGTCTCTTAAAGAGTATCTAGAGAGGGCTCTACTAGTCTATTCCCTTATATAGTAAGTATATTGACTATATTATTAGTAGTTTAGGCTTAGCCTTAAAAGTAACTCTATACTAGTTTGTCTCTATAGCCTATAACTACTCTATAATCCTATAGTATTTATAGATATATAGTATTACCTAGCTATTACTTCTATAGACTAAGTAGTATTTGCTATTAGCTAGATAGTAAAGCTATCTAGTTTCTAAGCTCTTAGCTAGTTCCTATATAGCTATTATATTATACTTGCTATAATCCTCTAGTATAATTAGTACTATCTTCTAGTTCTTTTCTATATTCTAATATACTACTAATAGTATTATTAGAAGAAGTTAAAGCTACTTACTATAGTATCTTAAATACTTTATATTCTCTAGGTCCTTACTATACTTATATTATAGCCTTACTAGGCAAACATTATAATATCTTGATATATCTTTACTATCTAGATAGTTTCTAGAAGTCTTCCTCTTTTAGCTACTAGCTAGCTAGAGATATACTAGAAGCTCTCTAGCTATAGTAGTCTTTTATATATAACTAGATAGAAGCTATCTATATCTTCTTTTAGTTATAGAGCTAGTATATTGCTTGTATTACTACTACTATTTCTTTAGGTAACCTTAAACTAGAGTAGCTAGTATAGGTATATCTAGTAGGCTCTACTACTTTCCTACTTAGTAATAGAGTAATCCTAGTTCTATATAGTATAGGCTTTTCTATAGTTAATATACCTTTTCTTACTATTATCTTCCTTCTTTAGATAGTTAGCTTCTCTCTCTTTATATACTATATAGGTATAATAACTATATCTAGTCTATTTAGTATAGTACTATCTAATATACCTAAAGGTATAGTACTTAAAGTATTACCTTATCTATACTTCTATATAGTAGAGTTTAATATTAAAAATTTAAGCCTTAAATATAACTCCTCTTTGGCCAGCAAAGTCGAACTCCCACCTGTACGTGGTGCTGGCTACGAACCTAGGGTCAGTTCTACTGCTCTAGAGCCAACGGGAGACCAGCGCATTCGATGGAGCTGGTTGTTGTGTTGTTGCGATCGTACGAAGGGGTGGCGCCCTGATTGTGACTGTACGGCTCAATACCAGAACAGAGGACTACCATCAAAACGGGTATGAAAACCATCCGACATACGATCTGCCTGTCTAGGGAGCAGGCCCTTGATATATAACTGCAGAATCAATCAATTAAACTTATCGATATAGAACTGGTTGCCCAGATTATACAACAGGATACCTCTGGGGTGTATAAAAAATTTTTACTAGATGGTATTGGACGTACAGAGTGCAGACAGTCACCAAAAGGACCTACGAATCGATTATCGGAGCTCTCGTTAACCAAAGGGACTCGGAGCTCTCGTTAAGTGAAGGATATATATCTGTTACAAAGTCTGATGTAGGATAGAGGGGTCGTACAAGGCGACCGAGGGATAGGGGGGACGGCTGTACAGATAAACCTCGCTATAGAGGCAGGCCCAAGGACAGTCGACTACTACAATCACTTGACTCCTTACGACTTACCGTACGAATATATATCTGGATTATACGGGCAAAGCAGGGCTCTGGAGGACGGGTATAGCAGGTAGTCAGGGAGGGGGGAGGATTGGACATATGCTTTGGTTAGTGGGAGCAGAAAAGCAGTCGTACGGTGCATGGCTACGGTTGTATGGTCTGTAACTCCTGCAAGATACGGTCGGCCTAGCTGTAAGGGGAGACCTGGCTAGGTAACGCGAAGCAGTCTTACAGCTATAGGGCGTGGCATATAATGGCAGCGACAGAGACACTGTCTATATGGCCTGAGAGGACGGATACACGTATCGGTCTACAGAGAGAGCAGGGCAGCTGGCCTGATGGCTGATATAGGCTTAAGGAGCAAACAGGGCAGAGGGTGTAGGGGATTATATTCTGGTCCGTACGATCCCTCTGAACTAGGTAACAAGATAGTGAGCCTAAAGGCAAAAGTCCTGAGCCCTAGGGGGAAGCGTGGAGGGGACTAGCTATCCCCTCTTATATTGTAGATTACTATAAAGGTTACTATAATATAATTCTGTTCCTGGGAGGCAACGGCCAGGCAGCGCTATACATCCATAAACGCCACGGGATCGCAGGGTGGTCGCAGGCTACAGGGACAAACTGGTGTAGGGTCACCTTCAAGGATAGGCCTGAACCGCTAACAATATAGTCAATATACTCACCATGTGAGGGACTAGACTGGCAGAGCCCTCTCCAGACACTCCCTAAGAGACCGCCAGAGGGTCGCCACCTAGTAGTCGGCGATATGAACCTCCACCACCCACAATGGGATAGAGAAGGGAGAACCTCGCAACATGCAGAAGTGCTCCTCTCAATGACACAACGCTGGAACCTCGCACTAGCTACACCGTGGGGAGAACCTACTAGGCGGAGAAACACAGAGCATAGAGAGGATAGAGACGGAACATTAGACCTTGTATGGTATACAGAGACGCTACAGGTACACTATAAGGGGGGCCTAGACTACGCTGGATCAGACTATATAGCCCAACTCGTGCAAGTCAAAAGCATACAGCACCAGCGACCCCCTAGTGTACCACCAGGGTGGTTGTAGACGAAGATAGACAAAGACCTAGTGGCAACAGAAGCAAAAACCCTAAAAATACCCCTCCCTATCAGCTCCCTAGAAGCCCTCGATCATGCAACCGATCAGCTTATACAGCAGCTCCAGAGAATCGCTGACGTTTCGACCCTGCAGCGCAAGACTGGCTACAGTCAAGGCGAACTATAGTGGAACAAGGAAGTAGACGAGGCAGTGGTAGAGGCATCGGCGGCGCAACGCAGCTACCGCACAGTAGCATCGCAATATACATGGACAAAGCTTCAAGAAGCCACCCAGAAACAAAGGCAGGTGATCCGAGAAGCACGAACGAGGTGTTGGAGACTGGCCCTTGCTAGGGCCTCGAAGCA